GAAAGCTCTAGATGCCCTCCCTCCCCACCTTTCTCCACGTGGAAATAATAAAGCCCTTGGCAACCATGTTCCCTGTAATCAGTATGAGGTAATTTTACTAGCTACCATGAAAGAGTCATTTGTTGAATGCCTGCTTTGTGATAGACATTTGCTGATGGTTTAATATGTCTTGCATCATTTAAATCTTACAACATGTTTCTGAGGGAAGAGAAATGAAACAAAGTTTTCTTTCCACCATTACCAAAGGAAGTTGCTGGCCATTACGTAACTTAAATTTTGCATCTAGTAGCCCCACATGGAGTAGTGTGGTTTCTGGAGGTGCAGAATCTCTCTTAGATACAAACATTTTATAAAGTGCTTTTGTAGATACAAAGCAAATCATTTCAAAACTATTTAGATAGGGGTTGTAAGTAGAGGTTTATACTGTTTTCCTGACAGATTTACACGGAATCGTATGGGAAAGTTACTTCTTTGATATCCACGTTATGTGTTCCACACTGTTTGAATGGCTTTCATATTTTGTAGTGGAGAAACCACTTGTATTTATAAGCACCCTAATGCTGCCGAATCTTTCAGTTTAAAGTGAACACTTCTGGGATGTTTAATTTCCTTCCAGAGTTGTAAAAAAAAAAGTTCTAATTCTAAGGCATTGTTCTTATAATATTGCCTGACTGAATATATCATGATTTGTTGGACTACTGACATTTCCTGAACTTCTGTATTTCTGCACAATTGTTGCCCTTAAGCCCTCAGGTTAAGCTTTTTAAAAAATTTGACTCACATTGCTTCCTTTAATTTGTGCTTTTAGTGTTTGCTCCACGAGATAAAACTTTCATTTTTAATTATTCTTTGAGTCTCGAAATGCTGAAGCAAATGTTGTCAACGAATTCCCAAACAGACACTGAGCCACTTTCTAATTGGAAACCTCTCTGAAAGCTTTTTCTTATATACCTTTGAATTTAGAGAATGAGCCGACCAAGGAATACTAGAGGGCAGCGTGTGGAGGGGGCAGATGAGAGAGGGCAGCTCTGAAATAGCGGGATTCCTATTGTGGAGGAGGAGGAGTGTGGGACGACTGTCAAAAGGCTCCACCCTTGCCAGTGGTAGGCATTGTACCTGCATGTTTTATTTTTTCTAAATGTTTATTTATTTCTAGGAGAGAGAGAGAGAGAGAGAGACAGCGTGAGCAGGGGAGGGTCAGAGAGAGAGGGAGTCACAGACTGAAACAGGCTCCAGGCTCTGAGCTGGCAGTCAGCACAGAGCCCGACACGGGGCTCGAACCCACGAACCGCGAGATCATGACCTAAGCGAAAGTCGGACGCTTAACCCACCAAGCCACCCAGGTGCCCCAGTACCTGCATGTTTTAAGAGGCATTGAATGAAAATAGAGATTGCCTCCTCTGCTCACTGTCGTCCCATTTCAGGGAATTCAAGAATTTCATACAATTGCACACTGTGGCAGCTCTTAAACCACAGGTGCGTACGCTTGTTGCAAATGGGGCATTTCTGGTGTGCGTTCAGGTTCTGTCCGAGACCTGTACTTCTTGTTGTTCTTTGCTAGGAGCTCTGTAAGGGGTTAGTCATCTCTTAATCTCAGTGAAGCTGTTGCTGAATGGATGAAGCAATAAAGCAATATTAATAATAATATCTTACATTTATAAGAAGGCTTTAAAATTCAGAGTGCTTTCTCACAGATTTTGATTCTGTGAATGTCAGCAGTCCTTTTAATTAGGTGTGGCAAATATTATTAACACCTTTATTATGCAATCAGTTTAGAATCAGACAAAATATGTGACTAGCTCAAGACCAGTAGATTTTTTATTTTTCCTAAAAGAGGAAGAGAGAATGAAACACACGAACACATACATGCACACGCACACACCCATCACCATCACCATCCCCACCATCAACAAGACAAGCATTTGTACAGAAGTCTGTGTATGCCCTACATTCTTTCCCACCAACCAAAATAGTCCTGCGATACTAGTTCCCACACAGAAGCGGATTGGTTATTTATTTACTGTAGTACGAAATGAGACGTGATCCGTGGGAGGCTGCTGAGGGTGACCATAGAACCGAAGCCCTGAAAGCGGAAAGAGCTTTTGAAATTGGAGCTTTTGAAATTCTATCTCAGACACAGTGGGTGGAGGCTCGTTCATCTGGCCATCTTGACCTTCTCTCCTTCTCACCTCTCCCCAGCCCACATCTCAGGTTATTGAGCCTTTTGGCTCTGCTGCTTTCTGTGAAATCTATGGCTCTTCCCCAGCTACCGTGCAGCCCAAATTCGGATCCTCACCGTCTCCCAGAGCGCTGGCAGGGGGCTTTCTGCTGGTCTCCTTGCCTTTCATTCACATCGTCTTTCGCATGCTCTAAGAGCTTAAAATCCTTTAAGAGTCTGACATTTTCCAGGGGATAAAGTCCATTCTCCTAATCCGACACATAGGACTCCGCAGACCCTGACTTCACCAAACCACTCCATTCTCATTTCACAGCTGGGGCCGTGGATTTCCTGTACGCTTAGCAGGTCCTTCGGCGCTCTCCTCTGCCTCTGTACTGACAGTTGGCTCTGTTTGGCATGGCCCCGTGCCTGTGAGCCCCCCTTGCCGTTGTGCTGAATTGGTGTTGTTTCTTTCAAACATGGCTTGTGACTACTCCTTTGGGTGGACTAGTCTGACCTCCCTGGTGAAGTTGGTCACGTGCAACTTTGTGCCCCATGGTACCTTTTCTTGAGCTCCATTGTGAAGCTGCCAACACATGGCAGATGCCTTCTCATCTGCGAATGTTTTGGGGACAGGACCTGATTCTTAGCACCCAGCAACACGGCCAGACCAGTCAACATGGTTTGGCTGAATGCTTGGCTTCACATCACAATTACCACAGCCACAACAATCAGGACCACGACACATACCGTCTGTTTGCTAGTTACCCAAAGATACTACTAATCAGGAGTGCTACTGAAGTGATCTAGAATCTAGTGAAAATATTTTCTCCCTTAGAGGACCATTTCCTAATCAACTTAATTAGGGATCTGAAGTAATGGAGAGGAACACAATTTTTCTCTTTTCTTTTCATGCATGGGCCGAATCAGAAGGGTAGGCTGCAGATTATGGAGTTTAGTTCCACTTGAGTATGGATTTCTGTTTTTGTTTCACTAATGCAATGTACAATTTAGTCACTTGCCTGGTACAGGACAGTGGGAATAGTCTGCTGCATTAAATTGGGAACATTCTTTTGGTGGTAACAGTGAACAACCTCCATATTGGTGCTTGAAAAAAATTGTATTTTCTCTTTGTAGTTACTAATACATAGGGAGTAATTTCTAGGGCTTATAAAAGATGTTGCCAAGGGAAACAGTTTTCAGGTCTAGTTATTTGGTTTTCACACATATGTGCCAAGTGGTAATACATGTATCATATAATGGTGATGGTCTCTCAGCCTACTTTTAGCGGTGTCTTTTAGAAGGTGTCTGTTTCTTGCTATGTATAAAATGTTTACTCATCCACATCAGCTAAACCAGAAAATTAGCAATTAGTTTTCTCTAGCCCGTGTGTGTATGGAGGGGGAGGACAGTCAAAAGAATTTGTGTTTATGATTACAAGCTCTAGAGAAAGTCATTATTTCTTCTGTGTTTTTAAGATTTCTTTAAAAATTTAGTCATATTTCCCTTTTATAATGTTTGTTTATTTATTTTGAAAGGCAGAGAGAGAGAGAGAGACAGAGAGGCAGTGGATGGAGGGGCAGAGGGGTAGAGAGAGAAAGAGAGAGAGAATCCCAAGCAGCTCCACTCCCAGTGTGGAGCCTAACATGGGGCTCAGTGCCACAAACCATGAGATCATGACCTGAGCCAAAAACAAGAGTTGGATGCTTAACCAACCCAGGCACCCCTACAGTCATATTTCTTGATCATTTATGCCATTAGAGCCATAAGAGAGATTTGAAAAGAGATCAAGTCTATTGTTTAATTTTATCATTATTTTAATAGAGAATAATGGAATTAGTATATATATATATATGTATATGTAGTCGAGAATGTGGCTAAAGTAGGTATTTCAGTTGACTGAATTTTATTTTTGTGATACATATTTAAAAAATGAGAGTGACCTTAAATATTAACACATCAACCACAATAAGGTACATTTATCATATTGAATTAATATAATTTTTTTGTGAAAAAAGTGAAGATAATGTTTGGATTTTCTGTATCACTACTCCTTTATCATAGAATATTGGGAGTTGATCTTTATTTTAGATTGTAGTCCATTTCACAAACATACAAAATCATTAGTGTATGGAAGAATTGTTTACTCAAATTTTCAGTTTTCTCATTAAAAAGAAGAAAATACATTTAGCTTATTATTGACTTATATTGACTTTGAGATATCACCAACTATATTATTCCACTATGATTTCCTATCTTGATATTTAGTATCAAATTAGGACCATAATCTTAGTTTAGTGTTGTTGTTTTGCTTTGTTTTTCCTTATAACACACTGCGTCTCCGAGTTCCACACTATGTTCACCCCAGGTATGTGGAGACTTGGGCAATGGATGACTGAAATGTGTTTTGTTATAATTGATTGTTTCTACTTCTTGGATCACTTTGGCTGTCAAAGATACATACCATGAATAAATAATTAATGGTGCAAGGTCAGGTAAGGCAGTGAAAATCACTAGTCTCATTCTCTTCACTTTCTAAGACCAGGTATCCCATTATAATTAAGAAGTACCTTATAATGTCATGATTACATTGACTTGATTTTTAAATAAACCACACTAATGATGGTGTCCTTTAAAAAACTGAAACTAATGAAGAAGAGGGTATTTTAACAGTCTAAATAATTATTTGGAAAGGATGTTATGGGGGACTTTGAGTTGATTGGGAGATAGGCTCAATCTTCTTTCTACTCAGGGATTGGAAGATTTCAATGCTGGGCAATGAGAAAAATAAGAAATGCTGGTTGCCTTAGTTACAGTGTTTTTGTTTGTTGCTTTGTCATAGACTGCCTCTTTAAGGTGTGCCCTATGAACCGATATTCTGCCCAGAAACAATATTGGAAAGCTAAGCAAGCCAAACAGGGGAACCACACAGAGGCAGCCTTGCTGAAGAAATTACAGGTAAGGGCCAGGCTACCATTTGTCTGGCTTAGGCTAGACCAAGAATAGCAATAACAAGCAATCTGTTTTGTATCTTAGTGATTCCACTTGATGCACAGAGATTTTAGAATAGACATAGCAACACACTGAAAGTAGAAAAGACTTTTCAGTTATAGGGTGTGACCACTGATTTCTTGGCATGTAGCTAATAGATTTCTGCTGCTAGTTTTTAAGGTGTGCCACACAAATTCAAAGATTCATATCAAACTGGAAACCATTCAGAATCTCTGTAGGAGTATCAGATCCAGTTATATTTTACTTGGCATCATACTTAATTTTTTTCCTGAAAGACTAGAAAAAGAATTGAAAGTCTGTTGCTTTTGGTTTGGGCTGAATGTAAATTTGATAGAACTTAAATTTTGTGTTATTAAAATTCCTGTTACTTTCAGAATTGAAACTATTTTGAGACTTTTGAAATTCACCTACTGTTTTTATATTCTGTTTGGTTGTCTAACAGTATTCCTTCGGAAACTAGTTTTAGAAGACCAAAGAGCCTAGTACTTTTCTGAAATTTCCAACATAAAAGCATCCCAAGATATTTTTGGCCACATTTCAGCACTACCCTGAGAGAATGATCATATTCTATTATAATCATTTCGTTGTCGGTCCTACAACCCACCCAGCCCCAGGAGGAAAGCAATCAGCCTATTTTATTCATGGTTACAGTTTTTGTTCCTAAACTAATCCTTGTTGTACTCTGTTTGCTGTGTTTCCATGCTGAATATTTGCTAACCATTTTCCAGCATGCTGCGGAACTGGAACAAAAACAAAATGAATCAGAGAATAAGAAACTGTTGGGAGAAATTGTGAAATACAGTAATGTTATACAAGTAAGTCTATTTACTTTCTCTCTTAAAAAAAAAAAGGTGAATATTTTCTGGGTAATTTGTGTCTGTTAGGAATGCCAAGCCGCATTAAAATTTGGGCATACAACAACTTGTTCTTTGATGGGAATTATGGATATGATACTTTCAGTTGGTGTTCAGCACCGTATAGATGTTCGCGAATAAGTCTGGTGAGTATACCCATAAGGAAGTGTGCTTGTCTATATGTAGGTACATGTTTTTCCACCAAAGGAGGAAGACAGGGAAACATAATTTCTAAAGTTCTGTAGTAAGACCCTCCTTTAGAATTAGTGAGATTGACATGTAACATATGAAGCTTTATCTTTGCATTTTGTAGTGTTCATGTTATAGTTTGAGATGGGAATGGTCCTTGAGTTGTTACTAAAATATTTATTTCAATGATTTATCTCAGCTGCATTCCTCTCCTGTTCTTCACTTAGATCTTTGAGCTCTTTACTTGGCTATTTGTTAATATGTGCCCCACCTTGTTTCAAAAAGAATGGAAGGCATTTTCAAAAATACATACCACATACGATAAAATAGAAATAAATAAGTTGTTTGGGTCAAAGGGAAGATAGTGCTTAAATGAATAAGGTGAAGTCAGGGGGAGGCATGTTTATAAATACCATGTTTTAAAGGCTGGTCACCTTGGCTAGAAGCCTTTTGTTGCTCACTTTCCTCTATGGGAAACGTAATATACTATAGCGCTCACGTAGGAAGTCCTTAACATAGAACTAAGTCAAAGGTCTAGAAACCCAAATGTTCCCAGGAAGAAGACCAGAGAAGTATTCCTCCAATGAGAGCTCATAAAGAGGACACTGTTTCATATAGTAAGTGTTAGCCTTAACAACTTCCTTACAGAAAGCACTACAATGAGGTGTTTCATAGAGCTGTTTTAAAAAATAATATTGCCTGATGTTTTGTATTTTGCCAACGGCAAAATGCCAGTGCACAGGACCATCAAAGTGGCCCTCTGCTGGGACAAGATGAGGGCGCTAGAATCTGCAGCTCTCCGAATGTAGGACTTTATCTAATGAACGATGATACGATCAATACCTGTGGCATGGGTGGGTTGCATGTCCCTTGAGAAATTCTCCCTAAATGGAGTTTTTCTTAACCGAGTTTTGACCACAGTTAAGTGCCAGCAAGTGGAAGTAATGTTTCCTGTCAAGAACCTGAAGTGCAAATGCTTACATTACCAGTTAGGGGCCGAGCCATGTACTCTAACAAGGTGGATTCCAACAGAGTGGGGCTGGACCATGAGGGTTTCATTGGGTCATGAGATCATTTCTTTCTTATATTGTGGATATTGAAATGACCATTCTGTTTTGAAATGATTGTAATAATAGACAGGAAGATTATTTGTTTTAGCCTTCCTACTCAGTAGAATACTGTTTTGGAGACATTTTATAAATGGCATCCAAAAAGTCTGAGAAATGGCGTGTCCATGCTCATCTGAGAAGGGAAGTAGGATCGGCGAGCAGGGATTATTTAGGATGCAAAGCCTTCCTCTTTACACAGGAAGAAGAAGGGCTGTCCATGGCAAGGACGGTTAATAACACTAAGTGGTTTGGTGCATTATTTTAGTTTCTTGGTTATTTTTTAGTATATTCTGTTGTGTCTGTGCAAGAACTGAGAAAATGTGATTGGAATTTCCTGATCTCCTTTGGGAAGCTTGGTTTTATCCTATTATTTATCAGTAGATAAAAATGGTTCAGAGGTGTCCTCTGGTTTGATTTCACCATGTGCCAGTTGTGGGGTGGAGGTGAGGAGGATCCTGAAGAAAGTCAGCTTGGAAAGATGGTGAGTGTGAAGTGTGAAAAGAGCTCTTTTGTTTGCCTTGCACCCCAAGCGGAGTTATGTGGGCACAAGATGTACGTACAAACATACCCATGTAATTAACAGAGGACATCAAAGAGTAAAGGTGGTAATGTCTTTTTCCCTACAGCTACTACATATAAAAAGCAACAAGTATCTGACTGTCAACAAGAGATTACCTGCTTTATTGGAGAAGAATGCCATGCGTGTGTCCTTGGATGCTGCCGGCAATGAAGGGTCTTGGTTTTATATTCATCCCTTCTGGAAGCTGAGAAGCGAGGGTGACAATGTATGTAAAAATAAAATTAAGAGAGAAACAGTGTGTTCATAAAGACAATAATTCTTAACAAGTGAGAGAATCCAAGTAGCACAAAGAAAGGACACGTAGTTTTCAATCAATACATTCTTTTTATGGTCATATCTTTAATAGATTCAAAGTATTTATTTATGGTGCAAGTTGCACTTGGGAATCATGAAAAGACAAAATCCAGAGTAATTAAAAATCATCTTTCAGTTGGAATTCATGTGAAAGAATTTAAGTAAAGCTAACAGTAGCCTAATCTTTCAAAGGAGAAGTAGAGTTTGCTTCCTTTCTTAAGCAGGAGGGAGCATGGTTGTAATGAGAAAACTATGCTTAGGAAATGTTGCTTATCCCTTTGAATTAATGGAGTAATGCAATCATTATGACAGTATTTCACTTACTGGCTCTATGGGCAGCTGTTTACAGTCTATACATCTTAAAGATGCATAATGTATAAGGAGTTATAGACGGGCACTTGCTTGTTGGTGACAGTATTGAAAATATGTTTTGGAATACATGTATGTTGTATCATGTAGATTTTAGCAGCTGCTAAAGTATTTTCTGCTAGAAAATTTATAATGAAAATTATGTGAAATGATCCAATAGGATACATTGTTATTTATTTTCACTTGTACTAAATAAAGTAGCAAGTGATAGTCCCTAGCACATAGGAAATTTCGCTCAATAAATGCTGAATAACTTTCATAAATAGAATAGTTTGCAAATATTGGGTCATGTGATCAAGAACATAGTTGTGATTTAAAAAAAAATAACATTATAAAATCCAAGCAACATAAAAATATAATTATTCTGACAGCTTTCTCAGTACTTTGATTACATTTTAAATATGTTTTGGATATTTCCTGTCCTAGAAATGTCCTCTTTTATAGTGAATCTATTTTTCCAGTGAATTTTGAAATATACATTCAATTCCACAGGATGCCAGCTTCATGGTTTAATTTGGTTAATAAATTATCTGATGATACCCTTTTTAGGTAAGGTTTGAGAGACGCATGGCATGCAGGAATGTAGCGCACTTTAAGTCTTGTGTTGGATTCCTTAAAAGTCCTACTTGTTTATTTTTTGGCATCAAGTGATGTGTGCTGTGAGCATGATATACATTTTAATTTTGGTAGGTAGTTAATTACAATCAACTCTCAATTATTTAGAGACTGATTATGCAGCTTACAAACAACCTATGTCTTTTGGTACCCATTCTCGTAATGCTTGCTTCCCTCTCTGGTCCTCCACTGAGTAGTGTCCCTGGCATGAAATCAATGCTTCAAAAAAAGCAAAGCCTGAGCTCAAGTTCTGAGGGAATATGAGGAAATGATTGGATAAATTCGGGCCTTTAGATTAACTCTGGATTTTATTAATTCATTGTTTGTTTATTCATTCATTCTATCTATTTCTCTCCCTGCTTCCAGATGCCTTTATAGGATTGACTGAGAGTTGAATGTAATGAACTATTCCAAGTAATTAGTTGTCTTGGGCTCGGGGGGTCCTACCACCTAAACACTCCATCTTGGTAAAATGGACAATGAAATTATTAAGTGCAATGTAGAAATCCTTATATAAATGTGCTCCATAAAAGCATGGCTTAAACAACCTTCCACATTGCTTTTTGCCGTAACAGCTCACTGTTTTTGCTCACCACTATGTAGCTATTGTGTGTGATTAAGGTTGCTGTGAAAACATAAGCACACCCATAGCCCTCTCTTTGCCACTTAAATATATTGCAATGCTCATTTTCTTCCCTAGGAGTAGGTGGCACTCCCTAGCAGTAAGTTTCATTCTAAAATTCTAAAATGTAGGAAATGCTGTCATGTCATAGCAAATGATTTAATTATTACTGATTTTCCTTAAGAGTGGATTAAGCTAAGAAGACATTGAAAAGTTCAAAGGACTTTTAAAATTATACGTTACTATTTAGCAATTAGTAAGTTGTGATTTAGGTCGTAAGTATCCAATAAGGTGTTTGGTGACTGAAATGAAACTTAAGAATGAGGCTGATGAGGGGCGCCTGGGTGGCTCAGTTGTTTGGGCTTCTGACTTCATCAGGTTATGATCTCGCAGTTTATGAGTTCGAGCCCCATGTTGGGTTCACTGCTATACTCTCTCTCTAAAAAATAAACAAACATTAAAAAATAAAAAGAATGAAGCTGATGATAGTCTGGGGAGAAAAATGCTCATATTCCCACTTACGTCATATCTTACAGAATTGTCAGTTAGATGGTTTTTGGGGAAAAATAGATCCATGGACCCCTCAATTTGCAGCTGTATAGAAGCTCTTCCTTGCTGTTGAATAGTTTAGAAAGTCATTGGGGATAGCAGAGTATGTAAATATTTCATTTTTATTTATTTTCTCATGATTTAGTGTTTTTTTTTTAATTTTCAACTTTGATTTAAGAAGTTGTTCGTACTTTTTCTTGATGGTAGATTTTAAAAAGGAGAAAAGCCTAGATCTTCCTCCAGTCGAGAGAAAAATTCAACTCTTAGGGAAAGAGCCTCTTCAAATAGCAAGTAGATTTTGCTATTTTGCAAAAGTAGGTCTCTTGGAAATCTAGCAAAGGTAGGACTAGATGCCTGGTGTTTTGGTTTTTACTGCAATGTTCTTTTCACCATGCCAGATGCTACTTCAGAAGAAAGGTGGCTGCCAGTGATATTATGTTGCTCTTTATTTTCAGTAAAATCTCAACTTGAATCTTACATGACTGTCGCATAGAATCAACAAAAGTGCTTTTGGAATAGGAATTTTTAAAAGATGCTTTTGTACTAGGGTGAGTGTGACATGGCAGAAAATGATTGCAACCTCAAGTTCTGTGTTAAATACATAGCATCTGGAAGGCATCCGACCACATCGGTGGATCAGACCCATGCTACACCGCATTCCATATTTACCAATTTATCCAATTAGGTGTAAATTCCCCAAGAACAGGGACTATTTCTCACATGTTTGTATGCTTTGGCACCTCTTACTATTCTTTTTATTTCTTTTGATTAGCATTTTGTCCATTTCATTTGCAAGTTTTTTTGGTTTGTTTGTTTTTGTTCTTTTTGTTTGGTTGTTTTCAGCTTGGTTAATCAAAGTAACCAAGTTCTTATGAACCCTTGGTGCCTGGAACATTTTGGCTATATGACTGGTCTCTTAAAAATATACAGTTTAAGACTTTACGGGTAGCGTTTTGAAGTAGATAGAACATATGGATTGCCCAAAGCTTACAGAAAAGTATTCTAAAATAGTAAAACTTAGGTAAGTGGATATAGGTGCAAATGAAAATATTCTTTTCATTGAAAGGACATAGCTAAAATATATCATTATATTTAGTATCTTATTGGCTAATATTTATATGATGCAGACAAGAATGACATTGTAAACCAAATCCAGTTGCTTTTTAAGAAATTAGAAGATCAGACACAGCACTGGCAAGATGTGTATTAAGTCCCAGTAATCATAGTGTGGATAACGACATGGACTTCTTCCTGGCTCTGGGAGTTAGAGCCACTGTGGTGTCATGTGCAATAAGAAGTGTGTGTGTGTGTGTGTGTGTGAGAGAGAGAGAGAGAGTTGTGAAAGGGGATGTTGGATATATGTTTATGTCATGTTGGCTTTTGTATGTTTTTTTAAATTAAAACTACTCACCAATTTTGGCTCATAGATAGAAAGCAATATAAAGATGTTTCACCGAAAGTCTCTTATCCTTTTTTTCTATCTCCCCAGTTTTTGCCCCCTGCCCTACAGTTAACCTCTGGAAAGATTTCTTATGCATGTGCTCTTTCTCCTTCCCTCCCCTTTTTACACAAATAGAGCCCACTTTGCTTCCTCACCCTCTCACTTAACACTTTTCTTGATGGTATTCCCTTATCTGCGCATAGAGAGCTTCTATGGTGGCTTTTGTGAGTCAGGCACCGGCATCCGACTAATGATGGACTTGAAAGGCGGGTGATGAACAGAGACCAATCTGTGAGAGACCAATTCTAGAAGCTACTTTTGCAAACTAAGAACAATTTCCCTTTGCTTAAATAGTGAGCTTGAAGCTCCTCTATCGTATTTGAATCTCCAGATATAGTTTGTGACAGCAGTACTATGTGTAAATGTAGACTTCCTGTATATAACCCATAAAATCTTATTTTATATTGGAAATATGAAATTATGTTCCAGAAAGTCTCGGCCTAGGTTAAGATACAGGAAGAAGTTTTGTTTATTCTTATGTTCTGAGTCCTGATTTGCTTTTCAGTTTTCTGTTAATGTATTCTCATATTCATTTAGTACAAAATATGCAAAGAGAAGGTATTGGTTTTCATTTCTGAGATGGTAAGCAATTTTATATGAGAATTGAGAGTATAGGTTCTACAGAAATAAGCTTTCTAATGGATTGTCACAAGAGAGACTATAATAACTCTAAAATTAAACTGTTCCTTATTATCACTAGGAAAGCATAACTTTATTTCCTGCAATTTGAGGTATGAATAGAAATTCTTGAGGATAAGTTGGACATTGTTAATGATAACAAAAATGAAAAATCAACTTAGACTTACTCCTCTACAGCGTTTCTACTCACACAATTTTTAAAAATTTTATGTATATTTTAATTAAGTGATTAATTAAGTTTTTTTAAGTGATATCTACTCCTAACATGGGGCTCAAACTTCTGACCCTGAGTTCAAGGGTTGCATTCTCTACAGATTGAGCTAGTCTGTCAGTAGAGTCAATTTTTTTTAGCTAATTAAAAAAAAATGAATACCAAGTTTAAAGAGCAATATTAGTTTTGGATATTTAAGATAAAAGTCAACCAGGTGCTCAAGGAGCAAACAATAAACATATTTCTGCCAGGTCATACCTAATGTGCATTTCCTGAATCCAGATGGCATTAGCATGTTTAATAGATTTCTGAGATTGTGGGAAAGACCAAATTTAACAGACTTGTTTTTAATTCCCTAGATAATACACATATATGGCATTTTCTCCTTGCACTTGAAGTGGTTCAAATATTTAGGCAGATTGATTGTTTGTGGCGGATGCATTCACTCTCTCTGCTGTGCACATGGCATAAGAACCTCGTGTTGAGGCGTAATGTCCTATTTATTGACATTTAAAAAGTTCTTACTGAAATGGGAGACTAATAAGAAAAGGATCTACAGTAGATTTCTGAATCCAGGCTGATAAGCATTATAAACATGATTACATGATCATTAATCAGAAAACATTTTACCTTAAAGAGAAAAAGAACTGAACTAAGATTTGTGTGGAGGACAAACTGAAATTTGTATGTTAGGTCAATATCAAGGACTTCTGTGCAGTTATTTTTAGCTTCATATAAAGCACCACGGATCTGCTCAGTGTCACAGTTGCAACTTATTTCTGATTCCTAGATTGTCGTAGGCGACAAAGTTGTTTTGATGCCCGTGAATGCAGGACAACCACTACATGCCAGCAACATAGAGCTTCTCGATAATCCAGGGTGTAAAGAGGTAAGTTCAGGAGGAAAGAAAATGAATTTGTTTATATTCATTGTGAGAAAAAAACGTCATGTAGCTTCATTTATTGTTTTCATGAGCATAACTCCAGTTATGGTAATTAATATTTCTAAGACCCATGTAGATAATGATTGCTAGTTTTGGATGGTGTTTGTGTTGAAGTACATACCTCATTGTCCAAAGTTATCTTTTTTCTCATTTTACCTGTTGGAGGAATAATTTCTGGAATGCGTAGTTTCATAACTTAATGTTTCTTCATTAATAGGTGAATGCTGTTAATTGCAACACTAGCTGGAAAATCACTTTATTCATGAAATATAGTTCCTATCGAGAGGATGTACTAAAAGGAGTAAGTATGTGGTACATGGAACATTTGCCAGAAGCATTGAAGGTAGTCTTACTGAACTTCTATATGCAAAACCTGTATATTCACTAGCATTCATACTTCAGAAGATGGTTATAGACCTTAATACTCACCATGAGTGTTTCATTGAGTTTTCCTCTTTTTGGAATGTATAAATAATCATTAAAAGCCAAGTAATTAGCATAAGGGTACAGAGATAAAAGCCAGAAAGAGACATCTGCTTCTTAGGTCTATTTGTTCAGAATTTTTTTGGAAATACAGTTTGATTTTCCTGTTTTCCTAGGGTGATGTTGTTAGGTTGTTTCATGCAGAACAAGAGAAGTTTCTGACTTGTGATGAATATGAGAAAAAACAACACATTTTCCTTCGTACAACCTTGCGTCAATCAGCCACTTCTGCTACTAGTTCCAAAGCACTCTGGGAAATAGAGGTGTGTAAATATTTTTGGATTTTAGTAAGTATTTATGTAAAAATCCCTGGATTTACCAGTCTGATTATTTTATTATATAAATAATATATAAGCATCATTTATGATAAATTGATAAAAGACTAATATTTGTGAACTAACTTATCCTCTTAATTACTGTGATCAATTTGAAATGTTACTACTTCCTTTACCTATCCTTTCTGAGGCATCTCTCTTCCTCCCTCTCTCTCTCCACTAGAAATAGATAAAGCATTAAAAAAAAATAAAGATAGATATCAGAACCATACAGTAACTGAGAAGAACATTTATTTCTTCAGGGGATGCCATTTTTATTGGAATGAGGAGATCCATAGTTAAGAGTTCATCCATCCTTTGAAAAGTCATTGCCAATATGGTAGTAATTAAGAAAATGTGAGGTATGGATTTTTCTTTAAAGGATCTTTCTGTACCGTAGAAATAAGATAGATGGAATTCCCTATGAACAAACCACATTTGATAAGTTACATCCTCATGTAATGGACATCTAAGCCGATAGCAGTGGTTTGCAATTATTTGAAACCTATCATCCTCTTTCACAGCATGTATTCTGTGGTACTTCCTTTAATATCTTAAAATAAAACTCATAAATAGGTAATATTATTTATAGATTTTCATGATTCAAAATTAATAAAATGCCTAAATTTCAAAATAAGAAAAGGAAAGTAATTTATAATAAAATAATATGTATTTTAACATGTAAATAATTGCTTTAGAAGGTGTAATATTTGTACCTATCTTGAATAAATGCATTTGGATTTGAAAGAGGTGGTAGAAGATGAAACTCAGAAGACATTCTTTGCAAGTACAGGAAAATGAAAGAGCAGAGACAAATGTGGCCCTTTGAATTATATCTTGTATTAGGAGAAGTAATAACAGAACATACTTATTTGTATGTTTGATGAACAGAAGAGGGAAATAACCATATTGAAAGAGGGGTAACAGCACACATTACAGAGTATTGAAACAGAAAATGAGGAAGTATGATGTTTATTCCAGCGAGCTGACCCTGAATTATAAATGTAATATCAAAATAATTCTGTAAGTTACAACATGGTTTAGAATAGATATGAAATAGTACAAAAACCATATTTCCTATCTTTATTTTTATTATTTAAAAACATTTTTAAAAAGTTCATTTATTTATTTTGAGAGAGGGAGAGAGAAAAAGAGAGAAGCTCTATTTTACTTTTCTCTGCTTTCTGTTCCAATGGAATGACTTCAGAACCCTGTTGGTGAGGCTTCCCACCCTTGGGATACGGGTCACTTAGGAGGCTATGACTTGCAGGATTTTTGTATCTTGGCCAATGCCTGATAATGCCAAGATCAGTCTTCCAAAATCATTGTGATAAATGATAACACCGTCCTTTCTGTATCTCTAAATTGTCCCCTAGGGAGCTGCACTAGCATTGCTAGATGTATGTATAGGAGAGGAGTTCTTAGTCTGGGATCTGTGGTGAGCTTCAAGTTATTTGCCAACCTCCAGCAGTTGTGTACAAAATGTGTGCATGTACGTGAGACAACCGATAGATTTGATCCATCTCAAAGGTATCAATGCCTTAGCCAAAGGAGTTAGAGTGTAGTCAGTGTGATTTGCAAAGGATTTGTGGAAGAAGTTTGATTTGATAGCTTTGAAGATGGGTAGGGTTTTGATCATAGGGAGAGTGTTTTTAAGAGTTCATCCACTTTGAAGTATTTTCATAATTATTATCTTACTTGAGCTATCAGAGGAGGGGAGGACCTAGAAGCTGGGGTCTAGCAAAAAGTATTAGAACGTTCTATATAGCAGCACCCAGTATTTGAGGCTGAGGTCAGGAGTCCAAGGGTGGTAGGCATTAACAAAAAGAAGGTAACCTGTTGGGAGAATAATGAAAAGTTCCCCTGGTACTTAATGTTCAAAACAATCTTGTGAATTAAAATCATTTGGACATGATGGAACTGGCTTGAAGATGTTCAGTTGCTTCTAGTGATCATACCCTAGTACTTGGCAGAGCTGGGGCTCAAATGCAGTCCTCTTCAGTCTGTAGAGCCTAAGATCTGCTGCTGCGCACCAGGCCACCTGGCATTAGCAGCTGCTTCAGACCATCTTCTTTTATTCTCAGGGAGCCTGGTGGCTCAGCGTCTGGGGCAAAACCAGTTCCCAGGACAGGTAGGAAAGGACATGGTATTAGTGAAAAAGCATCCGCAGAAAGGGCCAGGAATTAAGTCGGTGGAGAAAGCTCCAGGCTTTCGCATTTTGGTGCTCTCTGTCTGGAATGATATTTTCTAATCTCTACGTGATTGTTCATTCTTACCCTGCGGGTTTCAGCTCCCATGTCATCTTCCAGTGGCCGGTGCTAATCGCTACATCTGAAGAAGTCTTCCCTCCGGACTCTGTCATGCGCTCTGTTTATTTCCTCCTAGCACTTGCCAAATCTTATGTATTGAAAGCTCTAGTCTTACTCATTGCTGTGTCCCTATTGCCTACAAGAGTCCTTGGTGCATCGTAAGCTTTTAATAGGATTTGTTGAAAGAATATTTGAGTAACAAATGGGGAAAAACCCCACAGCATTTCCAGTTCTTGCCTGGGAAACCTGTCTCTTGGAGGAAAGCTGTATTTGTACATTTAAGGCACGAGCATCATGCATTGAGTTAACTGTTAGGTCTTTTGCTCATTTGTGGGGAATTTTGTTTTTCTGCCACACTGTCCTCTTATGAAAACATATATTAGATTCTACAAGTTAGTATTAACAGGTGAGCACTTTGTATAAACTGTTGGCATTTGCTTGCCAGCAACGTGAATATCTTTTAGCCTTTATTGTTGTTGCTCTTTTTCTCTGTAGGTAGTTCATCATGACCCATGCCGTGGGGGTGCTGGACAATGGAACAGCTTGTTCAGATTTAAACACCTCGCAACTGGGAACTATTTAGCCGCAGAGGTAAGACTAATAAATAGAGTACTATTAAATCTCTGACTCTGAAAAAGTGACATAAGCCATTAGACTCTCCAGAAGTTGCTTTATTTGTAGGAACAGTCATTATACAAAATTTGATTATTGCCTATTGGGATCTGGGCTGGCATATAAATTATTCTTAAAATGTAAATATTAATTGAAGCCTTTGTCTTTTTAAGGCAAATAATCTTTGTCTTAAAAATGAAAACAAGAGTAACAAGAGAACAATGGTGGTTGGTTTCCTTGAAGGTCAAGGGCAAGAGAGTATCTGATTTGCATATGTATGCGATTCAGTCTAAACTTTTGTTTTTAGCTACATTCTTTCAGAGTGTCTACATTGGAGAGGCGATCAATTCATTGTTGGTGTCCTAGAGCCTTGATAGTTTCAGGCCATTTTCACTGAAACTCCTTTCCCTGGTGGGTGGCTTTTATTGTTCAAACTGTCGCAGAGGAAAGACATTTCTTCTTGAGACACTGAACTATCCTCAAACTGCTAATGAAAATGGTAACAACAAACAAGGTCTTTTCTTTCTTCATTGAAAGCATGTTGACGATCAGGTAGATATGAAGAGTGGGAGGAATCAACAGGATAGATGTTTTAACTAAAGTTTGGTTATCAAATGTAAAAATAATTTTGAAGATACTTGTTTTTTAGATGTATGAAAATATCCATTCATTCTACTCCCCTCAAGTCTGTATCTATTTTTCAATTTCGAGTTTCTTCTGGGATTCTAAACCAGAATTTTCCCTTAGAATTTTTACTATGACTTATCTAACTTGTAGTTTTTGGATGTGAGGGAAGATAAGGAAGTGGGGATGCAAAAGTGAGGAGAAAAAGGTATGGGAGACAGGACGTTTCTGTAAACATGCTGGTCCCTGCCTAAACCAGCCCCCAACACCCTTACCCTTTACATCCTATTAATCTGGAGTAATTTTCTTCATAGTACTTACCACTCTCTGACTCATTGTGCATTTTATTTTTCGACATTCTCTGTCAAAATGTATGCTCTCTGAAAGCAGGGGTTTTTATTTTTTTATTTAATTTTTATTTTTTACATCACCACTGTGTTCCCAGCATTTAGGGAGCATTTGATGAGTACTTTTTGAAGGAATGAATGAATGAATACAAAGAAGCTATGCAGTCTTCTGCAAGCTTAGAGGATGGGAAGAAGATTTTGGGATTTGTATTTAAGAGGCATTTGGAGCCATATTTGCACAAATTAATCTCTCTAAGCTCTAATTTCCTCCTCTGTAAAATGAGGATAATCACAATATTCATACAATACAAGTATTAAGAGAATTAAATAGGGTAAAGTGCGTGGCATAATGTGTGGCTCATGGTGGATGTCCGGTAAGTGGTGCCAGTATGATTGATTTTATTATGAGAAATAGGGATTACTCCTACTTTTATAAATATCTGACTTACTATTATTTAGGAATCTGTTCAAATAATGGAAATACAGCTTTGCAATTTATGGGCTGTTGATACCACGAATGTTTTGAAGTAACTTTGTTGAGAAGTAATGCTTTGATGTAAAATTAAAGAGTAAGGTGGAGAATCTTGTCTAAAATAAGAATTAGAAGAGTCTACAAGATGTCCTATAAAAGATAAGAAATTAGATTTAAAATTCTCTTGGATCTGGTGTTAGTGACTCTTTTCCATAATTCAGCTTTCAGTCAATGGCTGTGGTAACTACTGACATTCTCTAGAAAGCTGACATGGTTACACATTATTAGTTTTCTGAGTTAATTTCTGCAATTAAAACTTGCATCGTTGATAATTCAAATGACTAGATTATTGAGAATTAAATTGCTTACTAACTTTAATGAAGATCTAAGACCTCAATACATAAAGGAGTTCATTAAAAATTGAAAAATAGAAAGCAGCTCATTCCTTGAAAAGAATTTGAAAGACTCTTTTCATTCTATCTCTAGAGGATATGACTTTAAATGCCAGACGCTCTTTTGTCCATTAACGATTCTGGTGTACTTGTAGGATCTCTTCTTTGACCTTTAATACTTGAGATAGTATCTATATTTTAGGACAAGGTGAGAGAAGGAGAATTAAACATTAAATACATATCTGAAAATTGAAAACTAGGAACTTATTTTCTACTGATTTTAACAGAATGGGTGCTTCTGTGTAGTATTCTAACTCAAAAGAAGAATTAGCCTCAGAATATTGGCATCCATAGGTTGGCATTTTATATTTCATATGTCATCTCAGGTCAGATGAGGTTCTGGTGCAGTCACATCTCAGCACGCTTGTCATACGATGTGAAAGTGTCTGCAGGTGTGGCAAAACCGCAGCGACTGTAGTCTTGATAAAAAAATCGATTTCCAGTTCCAGTTCCACAACAGGTGGATATAGCCTCTGACAGCAGTTAAAAAACGTTGGGGCAGCTGGGTGGCTCAGTTCGTTAAGCATCTGACTTTGGCTCAGGTCATGATCTCATGGTTCATGAGTTTGAGCCCTGCGTCGGGCTCTGTGCTGACAGCTCGGAGCCTAGAATCTGCCTCAGCTTCTTTGTCTCCCTCTCTCTCTCTCTGCCCCACCCAACCACTTGCACTCTCTCCCATTCTTAAAAATTAGTAAATAAACATTTAAAAAGGAAGAAAAAACAATGCTTATCCTTTTTATCATATTGCTTTTTAAAAATGCTCAGGTCTTTAATTTCAAATCATTATTCATGTCGTTGAGGTATGGGTAGGAGTTCCCAGCATGTAGATTTGTAACTTTTTAGCCTTATTTGTTTTGTTTTATTGGACCCTTATTTATAGGAGAGAAAAGGCTCTATGGCTTTTATTCATTTTGCTTTTTCAGTTTCATCTTTTTAAAAAAATTTTTTTAATGTTTTATTTATTTCTGAGAGAGAGACAGTGTGAGCAGGGGAGGGTCAGAGAGAGAGGGAGATACAGAATCTGAAGCAGGCTCCAGGATCTGAGCTGTCAGCACAGAGCCCAATACGGGGCTCGAACCCACGAACCGTGAGGTCATGACCTGACCCAAAGTCGGACGCTTAACCGACTGAGCCATCCAGGCGCCCCCAGTTTCATCTTTAATATCTAGATACTACCTAAACAATAAGACACACATAATAATAGGACGTTGAAAATATAAGAGTTGGGAATAATTATTTTTGGAATTCGTAGCAGCAAAAGACAACTTGGTTAAGATTTCATACCACCTTTAACATATACTTTTTAAGTGCCTGATAAATGCAGATTATGGTAGGGAATGCTGCAGGTAAGGAAGGAAGCAGACGAGTAAGTCTCTGCCTTCAAAGAATTGACCTTTGAATTTGGAACACAATATACAATAAATGGCTATAGGATGGTCAGAGGCAGGATCATGTCAGGCAGGTGGAGTTGTCAGGTAAGCCAAAGGAGGCTCTTGCTTGGGGTGAACTTTTCCCTGGTTCTCCAATAGAGAAGCAGAAAGAAAATCAAGGAGGCACAGACAGGGTCATGGAATGTCCAGTCATTGGTAGACAATGTAAAAGGGGAGGCTTGGCTCAAGGAGAGGGGTTCTAAAAGGAATTATTGAGTGACAGATCGCTTTGCTTGAAGATTTTGATTGGAAGGTTTGGATCTGATCTAATTAGTGATAGGAATAGCGTTTGGAATAGTTACCTTAGATGCTGGGACTGGACAGCTATTTGCAAACGTTTGGTAGACACCAGTGATGTCACCAGAAAATCTGATTTCCGCCCTCGGTATAGTGTGATACGTGTATCATAGCGAGAGGAAGAGTGGTGTGCTGATAGGGAAGCACTAAGGAGCCAGGGAGGTACAAGGAATGATGAAACGGCTAGAGGAGTTGCTGCTGATGGATGAGTATGGCAGGTGGGCAGGAGAGAGAGTGTGCAGGCTGTGAGGCAAGGGGGTGTGTGGTATTGTGCAAACTAGTTTTACATGGATAATACATATGTGTATCACCCATAGGATATGTGTGAGTTTGGGGGTGGTGCTAGAAGGTGGGACAGCCAGAAATGTAGGGCAGCTGATTGTTTTCAGGCCATATATATTAAGTTAAGGAGAATTGGTTTTTGGGGCGCCTGGGTGGCTCAGTCAATTGAACGTCTGACTTCAGCTCAGGTCATGATCTCACCACTCGTGGGTTTGAGTCCCTCATCGGGCTCTGTGCTAACAGCTCAGAGCCTGGATCCTGCTTCGGATACTGTGTCTCCCTCTCTCTGCCCCTCCCATGCTCATGCTCTGTCTCTCTCTGTGTCTTAATAGTAAATAAATGTTAACAAAAAAAATTTAAGAAAATAGAGAATTGGCTTTATTTTGAAAGTAAAGAGCAGTGTTCTAAATAAATTTGTGTTTAAAGATGACCACTCCAGAGTTGCATTGTCTGATGTGGTAGTCACTAGCCACATGTTAGCTAAATTAAATTAAAATAAATACTATTAAAGTTAAAAAGCCAGTTCGGCAGTTATACCAGCCACATTTCAAGGGGCTCAATAAGTACATGGTATTGGGCAGCACAAATATAGAACATTTTTCATCATCTCAGGGAAGATTCTAATGGATAAAACTATTCTGGAGGCTTTTTAAAAAATTTTAATGTTTACTTATTTCTGAGAGAGAGACAAAGTGTGAAGGATGGGGAGGGCAGAGAGAGATTGGGAGACAGAGGATACAAAGCGGGCTCTGCTCTGACAGCAAAGAGCCAGGTACTGAGCTGGAACTTGAGAACGATGATGTCATGACCTGAATCAAAGTGGGATGCTTAACCAACTGAGCCCCTCAGGCGCCCTACCTGGGAACCTTTGTAAAGCAACTGGAAGGGATTGCTTCAGAGGTAGGGAGCCCAGATAGGAGAGAAAGATCTGATACCTTTAGGGTATTTTGAGGGGGTTTGAACCAAGTGGGTGGCATTGGTAATGGCAAGAAGGGGAAGGGGAGAAGAGATTTCTAGGACATTGGAAGCAATGGAAAAATGGTAATCCATGGAATGTTAGGGATTAAGGAGTAGA